TATATGTAATAACAACTCTCAAGTATACATATGCATCTATATATATACATATATAAAATAATTTAGGGATGGAAAAGAAAACACGGAATCATCCCCTGCCACAGAAGACATCTAGAGGGGTGTTTGAAAGAATTTTTCTTCTGTGTGAAAAATAACGAAATGCAGATGAAACACTCAATGGAAGCAGAAGTAGTTTTATTGCTAATCCCACCCCAATATGCCACCTTCTACTTTCCCCAAAATTCATTAATGCTTTGACATAATCTGTGAGAAAATCAAAACCCTTTTTCTTTCTAAAGTTTTTCTCTCCTCTAATTGCCTTCAAATCCCAAAAATTTTTATTGCCAAACGAGGTCTTCAACTCTTTGATTACCCCAAAGTCTCTTCCTTTATATTTTGTTACTTGTTCCATCAGCATTCCTCTGCTCTCTTCCAAGCGACTGACTGCTGCATTCCTTTCTATCATCTGCCATGACTGCAGCCTCTGCATGTACACATATATATTCTCCGCTTAAACAATTTAACATTTCAAACAGACCCACCCAATTGCTGGACATATAAATTATAGTGGAAATTAAGAAGAGAAAAGTATTTGAAGAACCTGTAAGTCGAGAAGCAAATTCTGGAGTTCCTTCAAGGAATCTCTGATGGCAATCAATGGCTGGCGATCTTGAAAAGCAGTCTGGGCAGCAACATGATGATGGAAACACGAATTGCAGAAGATTATGGTATTGTTGATTTGATGGTCAAGCCTGTCGTGCAAAACCCATGCTCTTTCCGTCAGATTCTGCAGCTTCTTATAACTCAACTCCATTAAACATATCCCAATATCGATGTCTCAGATTGACCCAACTCCATCATATATAGATAGAGCTTTTCTGTAACTCCATTATCTTTTTTTTTTTTTTTTTTTTTAATTTTTTCATGATATACAGTATAAGTACATGTGCTCTTCTTTTAAGAGCAGTTTTTTTTTTTTTTTTTTTTTTCAGCTTTTCTCTTTCTTGGTTAAGTCGTTTTCTTTTTAATTTTTACATGGGTTGCGTTTGTGGTGGGTTGTAGTAATGATTTATGGTTTGGTTTGTTTTTTCTTTTTGAGGGTTTTGCTTTAAAGGGAAGTTTTGTTTGGAGGTGGGTAAGATTAGCTGTGTTAGACCCCACTTACTCATTCTCAGTCACATACACCCACCCACCAGCTACTGTCTTCCTGCTATTATTCATATGATTATCACGACCAACATGATACGCACGTTCCTCTTTTAATTAATTAGTAATAATACGTCAATAACAACATGTTAGTCTTTAAACCCAAAATAATTAAACTCCTAACGAATACATAGACAAATGTACAATTTAATTTCATAGAGAGAGTATTGGGTGGGATAGTAATAAGCCAGTTAAGAGATGAATGTTGATTACATACCAACATGATAGATAGTCAACTATTATTTTTATCTTATATGAATTAAAAAGCAGGGGGAACAAAATATGTCTGTACAACTACTCGAGTTAATTCATTTAATAATTATTATTTTTATTTAATTTTTGTATGCATCTTAATAAAAATTTATATACTTTAATTGTAATATAATTTCTTAACTAATACAGAGAAAAAAAATGCATAAAAATTCTTATAAAATTAAGAAAATAGCAACCATTCAATCAAATTAATATTGAGAAAATTTTTTTTTTTATTTTTAATAATTAATATTCAACAAATATGTCTTTCCAAAGTTAAAATCAGCCAGCCCAACTTTCTTTTTTAAAACCTAATATTACCCCGTTTTATTTTCTTACCAATGACTTACAAAACTCATTTCCATCTCTCTCTTAATCTCAAATTAATTGTGGGTCTTAAGCACCAACTGCGCCCAAGTCCACTTCAGACCATTCCTGCATCAATTGTCCAGAAACCATACGACGCCGTTCAGAGATTTCCCCTCTTAGGTTTTATTATTGTCAGAAAGATAAATAAACATTGCAAGACAAATTGACGCGAGCATATTAATTTTCACCACGAGTAAACAAAACAGTAGGAGAAACAAAAGAGTTTGTCGGAACAAAAAAAAAAAAAACAAAGAAAACAAAAGGATTTAAACAGTAGAAGAAGATGAAACCGGTGCAAGAACTGATACTAACAAGAAAAAAAATACGATGCGCCATCAAAAAAGAAAAAAAAGTATGATATACGCGGGACCCTACTGAGCTGATATTAATGAGAGAAAGATCTTACCAGACGTGTTCTCGGGTAGGAAAATCATATCTGACGGCCTTTCTTTTTTCTTAAATCATTTCCTTTTTTAAGGGTTCTGGCCCAAGATAATATTATATATATATATATATATAAGTAGTAAAATGGGCTCAGGCCTTATTCACATGTTCCTTGCGGTCAAAAAGCTCAGCATATATCTACTCTCTCTGTAATTCTTATCTTGGAATATCTTTTTAACTTTATTTTTTTCCCCTTATTATTATCATTCTTTCTTTTTATGTTAGGTCTTTGTATTTCAGATGCTCATACCATGATTTAAAAAATGTATATGGTTCGATCAATAGTATGACATATGTTACACAAAATATAAATTTTAATTGCTACAAAAAATATGTTAAAGCGTTGGCATATCACCCTCAAATCTTAATATTGCTAATGAAAAATATTATTGTTATTTATATAAAAATTTGTATAGGTTAAAAAGTAAAACTGAAAATGCAGTTTGGGAGGTGAACCAAAATTCAAATGTCAACTTTTTTTTACTGGAAACAGGTTCGGTCAGGGTTGTACGAAGTTGCTTTTCAGGGACAGAGAAACAAGAGAGTGCAGCAGCTCAAGCCCGCATTAACCGACAAAACAGTGAACCCAAGATTTCCTTTGTGTTTTCCTTTTTTTTAACTCCTTTACCCAATTTGGTAAGTTTTGTTTCACTTGGTTCTTCCTCCTAATATATATATATATATATATATATGTACATACGTGTGTCTGTATTTACTCCCCCAAGCTGTTTTGATAATTAAGCACATCATATATTTCGATTTGATAACTACACCATATATTTTGATAATGAGATGAAACGTGTGCTTGCATATCTTCTGAGTTAGATAAGGGACAGTTTAGATTTGAATTTATTTATTTATAAAAATAAGTAAAGATAACTATTATCTAATTAATTATTTACGTATAAAAATATATAAAATTTAAAATTATAAGATAATTTTTTTTTAAAAAAAAAAAATCAAGTCAAATGCAACCTAAAAATATTATGATAAAAAGTCGAAATCTTGTGAACTCTCTTAAACACCACTTTCTCCAAACTTTTAATAACTAAACCCACTTCCTTTATTTATGAAGAAATCGCTTTATGAGTAAGCAATGGTTTTATCACTTTTAATTACTTAACTAATAATTAATTATTAATAAGAGCATCATACTGCATGATGTCTTTTCCTGATGATTAGCCACAAGCACGGCCATTAATCACCCCCCCTCTAAAATCAATAAATTAATTAAGATATCACAGGTTTATGTCAAATCTACATCTAATTCCTATTAAATGAATTATTATCATTTTATATGGTTCTTTCATTATTTTTAGTTAAGAAACTGTAAATAAAACTCTCTACAAATTATATATTTGCTTAAAAAACACTTAATTATATATTTCTTTCATCATTTTATATTGATATATATTATACCAATATTTACATCTTTATGCAAAATATAAATTTTATTAAGACGGATTAACAAATAGTATGGATTATATTACTTTTTTTTTTGTACTTTAAAATGAGGTAACTTTTGATCATTTCACTTTTATATATTTTAAAAAAATTATCAAATGTTTGGGAAACTTAATAAATTTTTTAATATAATTAAAAAAAACAATTAATTATGTCTATTAAAAATTATATGTGCATTTAAATAGAGTATAGCACTATAACAATTTATTCTTTTATTATTGAAAATTCATCAGTTTGAGATATTTTATTAATTTGTATCTAACATTAATTAAGTCTTTATAATTAAAATTATTAAATTAGACGTAGCGACAGAGTTTGTAATTTATCATTTTGACAAGAGGCATTAGTGGCTTAATAGAACGGTTAAAGAGGCTATAAGTTATCGCCTGAAAGCTCTTAAACTCAAAGTTTTGTGCATATGAGCTTTCTTGTTTTAGCCTAAATAAAAGTTTATGACATTTTAATACTTTTTCATAATGTTTTTTAAATTAAAATGTATCTTGAGCACATTTGACAAGAAAATATGATTGAAGACCAGAGGCCACAGAGAAAATTATGCCACCTTAACATTTTTCTCATTTTCCAGAACAATTGAATTAGGAAGGTGGTGAAGAGAAGGACCCAAATGGCAATGGAAGCTACAAACCTTAAAACAAGTTGCAAGTGGGTCTGAACTTGTTTGTCGAAAAGAAGTAGCAAGTGGGTCTGAATCTGATTTTGAACATCTTCTTTGATATCTCCATTTTACTTTATTTTATTTTAGATTGTGCAATTATGGAGTGTGATTTTCAAGTTTGAACATTCCATTATTTCCACATCTTTACAAACCAGCGTGAGTCAAAAGCCTGCGGATTAGACGTTAGACACGCCGCAACAAAAAGATACTTCTCTGCCGGCAATTCAACCTCAACCACGCCGGAGATTTCCTATTTTCTGGATTTGCTACGGCTCCCCACTAATTAAACCCACCACCATTTTCGAGATTAAAATACTTGGTTTCTTTGATGTGTTGCAGAAGCCTAGAACAGACCACAAAGGTTTAGCCAAGTTCAGAATTTGCCTTAATTACGCACAGCCAAGTGGGTGCTGGCAATATCTATGTAGGACCAGAATTTGAGTTCTCAAGATTTTTGCCCTTTGAGGACCTTTCACTGTCACTTGTATAACTGGTGACTGCTAGAAAATATTCTTGTTGTTTTAGAGCAATCTTATTTGTTCTTATGTGTTAATGATGTTTCATTCATTCATTTGTCTCATGTATTATTACCCACATCCCTAAGTTTCCTGTTTTATTTCAAAAGCTTTTTAGGATCTTGAAAACAGGGGATAAGTCAATAGCAATAAATTTGGAAAATGAAATGACCAAACCCATTTTCATCTCCTCTACCCACCACCGTGACCAAATCATAAGAGTCTTTAGAATGGCCAAGAACATACATACCCTTACATTTATGTGGGATTTTATTGTACTCCAATCAAATCCCATCAAAGATTGACGAATATAATTGCTTCAAATCTGAAAAATGGAATTGAAAGTATGTGAAGCTTGAAGAAAAGAATGACCAACATGTGAATGCGTAAGTTAGTGTATGGTTATAGAGAGTTCAAACTGGATAGCCATGGAACATGGGAACCCACTTGGTAAATGCACCATTAAAAAGAAACAGAGATTAAAGCAAGAAACAGAGCAATTCAAAATCAAAATCTACTCATGATGGAGGAAAAAACAAAAGATAACAAATGGGAGTAACAGCAAAATGAAAATAGATGTGGAGATCCCCCTAACACAATACTTAAAAAACATGCTTTTGACTCTATTTAACATAGATATAATAATAATAATAATAATAATAATAAATATAATAAATAAATAAAGACCTGAAAAGCAAAATGATTTACACATATATACTTTGCATTTCGTGTTGGTGGTGACTGACACTAATGGAGGAGATGCAAACCTTATCCAAAACTCCACTCGGAATTTACCAGCAAATGAACCGGAAGTGAAACCAAAAACCCAAACCCGAATCCGAAAGATATAATATATTTACCGTGGAAATAAAATACTGCTCTCTAACTCAAACAAATCTGAACCGTGCATGTTAACATGGAGCGCCATGATTCAATCTGCAGGCTGGAACAGAGGAGCGGAGCCACTACTGAGAAAGATAGGTAAGAGCCGGGTTCAGTGTGGATTCGACGGGAAAAGGGTCTTCGAAGTAGCTGTCCACATCCCATAAACATGACCCCAAATCCTCATCAAGTTTAAACGAGAAATCATCACCATACTCATCTTGCTTTGAAACTGGTTCTGCTTCAATAATTTCATCGAAGAAAATAGGAGCAGGAATCTCGTAGTTGAAGATATCACTGTATAAAAACGGATCTGATGATAAGAAGTCGCCTTGTAAACCCTGTGGCTCTTCCGAGGGTTTTTGTACCGGTGGCCATGCAGTGTTTACGGGCTTGGAGCTAGGCTCTGGTTCCAGCTCTGTTCTTAATTCAGCTTCAGCCTGGAATTCAAGAACAGAGGTAGGAGAACAGAGACTGTGAGACTCTCTGCTAGAATCATAACTAGAGATAGTCTCAACGTCAATCTCTGTTGGCACCGAGGGTTTAGGGAAGTTGGTGTGAGCGTCAGAGCCTTTAATACGAATTGCAGCTCGGTCATAGACCATTGCAGCCTCTTCCGCCGTATCATACGTGCCAAGCCAGAGCCTCGTTCCGCTTCTCGGATCCCTGATCTCCGCCGCCCACCTTCCCCATGGTCTCTGCCTTACTCCACGATACTTGTTGCCATTCGGATAGTACTGCCTTGATGATTTGCCGGTACCCGTCGCACAGTGCTTAGGTCTAGGTTTCACACGGACTGTGTTCGATGTTGAAGAGTCCTGGAGTTTGATCTCGTTGATGAGTTTCTTTATCCTTTGCTGGTGATGGCGGCGACACGTGTCGTCGTTGTCTTCTCCGCTGGATGAGTCTGTGGCATCACAATCGGTGACTGAGATTCTAACCAGTCTCGGGGACTCTAATGGAGTCCACCTGGTTGATGATTTCAAATGCTTGACTGTAACTGAACGCTGCTCTGTATACTTCATTCGGGAAGGTGAAATCGACTGATTCATTTCTTCGTTAGGGAATGATTTTGATTTTATGAATTAAAAGTAGACGGAGAGAGAGAGAGAGAGAGAGGGAGAGAGAGAGAGAGAGAAAGCTAGATGGAGAATGGAGAGTAAACAGGGGAGGTTCAGTTGTAGAGAAGAGTCAAAAGGGAAGGAATCACTGTTTTATAGGAGGAGAAGGAGGATCGTAATTAGGCCGTCTTTTTATTTTTTAATATTATTTATTATCACATTCGGTTTAAGAAGTTTGAATTGTTAATATGATTTAATTCAGGAAATAAATATGATAAATATAATAAATCATATTAAATTGGTGATGGTTACGGGCGGAGATTCCGGTCACCACCGGAGATCCCAAACGGTTCGCCGCATCCCGACATCTACGCTTGATTCTTGCCACGTGGATATATGTCCCGGTAAAAGCGATTGGTCCCTCCGATCAAGCTTGATCTCCAAGCAACTTTGGCTGGCCCCAATCGCGGGTGATGATCGTGCCCTACACGCTTGAAAAGCATTGGAAAGCTTCTTCCAAGTCCCACCCTCCCCCCAATACAGACACTTTGATTGCCTCTGATTACACTCCGTGAGCGTGTAGCGTGACAGGCAGTGGTTGTAGCAATACTCACTGTGATATTAGTCACGTTTGTCATATTATTTGGTCACAGACCTGTTAGCCAGTACTTTGACCGGGGAAATCCGAGTTTTAATTTTTAATAAATAAGAATAAGAATAGTTTATTATATTAATATCGCAAGCTTATTAATGACCACTTTGCTTGTCAACCAAGAGTGTAGTGACCAATCAATCTTGTTTGTTTTTAAGTTGTCGAATAATTACGTAATTATTTCCAATTTTAATTTTGACCAAAATTTAAATTTCTTCAAATTAAAATAAAAATAAAGATCCGATATTTTAGTTGACTAAACAGTGCCTAATACTATTTATTTATTGACAGATTAATTTTTTTCTGGCATTGACCAAATTAAAGTTCAAATAATAAAATGGACGTTTTACTTGATGCAGTTTTTACTGCTTCTATTTGAGCTTTCACAGTTTGTTTTGAATAATATTAACAAATTTATTGTATAAATATACACATAATTTTCATTTTTTAAACTTTACCAAAATTAATAATTTTTATATTATATTATATTAATTTTATGTGACTTCATTTCTTAATCATTTTAATCGATCATTTATTTTATATTTATGAAATTTATGAGAAAAATTTATTCTGACATAACTCTAAGAAAATCATGCTCTAAGCTAATCTTATAAATTAGCACTTGCTTACTAATATACTTCTTCGTTTAAATTTATACAACTTTTTTTAAAAATAAACTAAAAAATACAATATTTTACTTAAAGATCATTTATCAACAAAGATAAGAGAATTTGAAGAAATTAATATAAAATATGAATTCATTTCAGAATTAAAATTTTTTTATGCATTTTGATTATATAATAAGTTTTCGATATATAATTTATTAAGAAAACCTTTATTTTTTATCAATGTTAACGCATTTAGTATGATCACAATTATCTAGTAATTAAGTATAACAACTAGTTTACATAAACTATTAAAACTTTATAATAAGTGAATAATAATAGAGGTTAGAAGGTATTACTTATAGGTTATTTGTCCAATTCTATTTAGTTAGTATACTAAATGAAATTGAATATAATTTCTACTTGTGAGTGAACTAAGAATGTTTTTTCTTTTTCAGCCAAGGTTGAATTTTAACATAAGACATAGTCATTTACTTAATGTTGATGATCAATCTTATAACATTTAACTAATTAGGTCTTTAAATTTTGGGTTCAATTTAAACTATTTGTAAATAAATGTAGGTTGATCTTTTGGTATGTTAGGGAGAAGTTTACTGATTTGATGTTAATATCTCTTAAAAAATAAGGTAAAAAGAAAAAAGAGAAGGTAGACATGCAGTGTCTCTAAGTAGGGTTAGAATTATTAGTTAAAATTTTGTGATTAGAATATAGCCTTATGATTATCCTCCATGAGTTTAGATGACAAAAATAAACTCTAAAACTCTTCCCATTATATTTTGGTTCTAGATGGTCGTATGTTCCATTGAGAACAATTTATGTGCTCTACAAGCCAAAGTACACAAATATATATATTTATATCATAACTTGTTTATTTCAAATATTTTTGAGAAAATAAAACAATAATATATTTATTTATGTTTAAAAACATTTAATAATTCTTCCTGTATCAAATAGTGGGAGATAAAGAAGCATATCCCATACCCAAGTGATAATAGTAATGTTTGCAAAATACAATTAGCAGAACAAGTATGGTGTGGCTTGTCCCCGTACAAGTTTGCAGACGCGTGCCATGCTTGAAAGAGGGAAGCAATGAGAACTATGAATTTCCATGTGGGACAACCACGTCACCACTCAATTTCATTCAATTTAAAATCATTAAAATAAAATTTTATTTTTTAAGATTAAAAATAAACTATATATATATATATATATATGTATGTATGTATGTATATATAAAGAAGGAAAGCTTGGAGACCAAGCAAGGAGCAGGAAATTCATTTGATTGGAAAGTAGGTAGAAAACTGAGATGGGATTGTGTCATCACAAAATGAGGTGCTCATAGTCATTTCCTTTTACATTGGCCTTCACTTATTTTTCTTTAAGAATTTATTTATTTAGATATGATACTAATAACATAATCAAGCGTAGGATTTTTCTTTTCCAATTAGTAGTCAACACATTCCATATGTGGGATTTATATTGATTTGTTACAAATTTAAGGTATCATAATCTCCCCTCTCCCCAAAAATAGTTTTAAACATTCGAAATTAATGGAGATCAAGTATGGAATGAACAGCACCACAATGTAGTGATATTTACTTACTCAAAACATATTTCATTGCCTGCTAAGTTCATCTATTTACTCACTCTCAAGTTTGCTCTTAATCCTCTTATATACTACTTTTACTCAACTCACGTATAAGATACAAAATGTTGTAACAACTCCCAATGCTAATCTCTATTTCTTTACGTATTGATTCGAGTATCAAAGCGTTCTCGTGAGGATATTTTGCAAATACTGGTTGACAGTTGCATGTTTTGCAAAGTTTATTGAGGTTGCAAAAACTAGTTTCTATTCTTTACATAATTACTTCTCTCTCAACATGACTTAGATCACTTCTATAAACAATAGAAGATTTCTTTTTTGTTTGTTTGTTTCGTTTGTTGATTAAAAAAAAAAGAACACTAACAATTGACTCCCTGCTTCTATGAAAATCAATTGTATATATCTTCTCTTGTACGTTACAGGTGTTGCCAACAAATCACCACTTCTTTATACATAAACGGGATTAGTCAGAGATAATGCCCTGATCGCCTGCAATGCGAAGAATGCTAACCCATGACGTATTTCTGATTCCAGCTTCTTGCAGTTGATATGTACATGTGAGCAATTTCTGGCACCAACAGAGCGCCTGGGTTTGGATCAGTCCAGAGGGAACAGATAGGAGAGCAACACCTGAAAGAGGAAACAACTGCCTCCCGCCCACTTGAAAGAACAGCCATCATATATATTTTGAATATTTATTTCGAATCAGTCAAACCACTCATTGTGTGCTAACTTTGAATCAGGAAAAATCTGAGGACTAAGTATAGGGAGTTAAGAAAGAAAATTGTTGAGGGATGACAACCTTGGGTACAGTCAATGCAGGGCTAGATTGTTATTCAATGTCAAAGCAAAATACTCTCCTTGGTGTTGATGATGGGGTGAAAAACCTTGGTCCTGAATGCAACCTGCAATACAGCTTAAGAAGATGATGCAAGGGAAATGGAACTGAAATTATTAGAATGTTCATAACAGGCAAATCAGCAAAGAAGGGAGTGCAGCTCATGAAAGCAAGAGACCTTGCTCGAGAACAGCCAGAGGGAACAAGATTTCACTGGTCAGAACCATAACCACTTTCAGATATATCAGCTACACCTTTAACCCATCAAACTCAAACCTTAACGGGCTTGTTTGAAATAATTGCTACTGATTACTGCCGGAGGATAAAATTCACGAAATTCCCATTGCCTCTCATGTAAGTAAACATACTGACCTCACCAACCTCTGATTGCAACTCATATTTTCCTGCATACCACAAACACCAACAAGTTCACCTTAATCTTCCCCACATACTACACACCTAAACCGTACCCTGCATATATGCATTTTGCGTAATCATTTTTGGAAAAACAAATTGTTCAAAACATTTCCATAAACAGCACATGATTGCTCATTACATTATTCATACAAGACAAGTTAAGGACAATCTACTTATTTGGTAAATAAAAGTTAAACCTAGATCTCCCAACTAGAATTTGTTGAATATCAGACCTACTATTTGATTGCATGACACAATTATGATGTAAAAGAATTTGTGAGCTACTATTTAATCGAGAATTATTATTTATAAAAAGTAGACTAAACTTTGATTTTGAATGGGCTCGATATTAGATCTTTATAGTTATTTTTCTTTTGAAATAAAAGTATAAAGTATATTGATGTGACGGCGCTAACGGGGCACCACCCATGTACAAAAGATTTACATATCAATGAACATATTTACAATATAACAAAGGTTATACAAACTATTAAAGGTGTGCCCTAAAACAATAGAGCCAAAAAAATGAAATTATCTATTCTTGATAGTGACAAAATCAACTTCATTACCCTCAAAAGCACAGTTGTTCCTTTTTTTCCAAATAACCCATAAAATAATTAAGAAAATTAGTCTGAAGTTTTTATTTATCCTACAAAGTCTTTTCCAGGCTAGTAGTTCACAATTAACAGACTCAGCAACAACCCATGAGATCCCCAAGAGACCCAGAACCATAGTCCAGAGCTTGTGAGAGACAGGACACCATAGGAGCAAATGATTGTAGGACTCTGAGCAGCTTTTATAAAAGAAACATCTGTTAGCAGTGATTAAATCTTTTCTCATAAGATTATTGTCAGAAAACCCCTTGGGATTTATTGCAGAAAAAATGGCAAAAAAAGAAATATGCACACAAAAGGGCAGAACAGGAAAAATGAAGAATTGGAATTAGGGTTGGTCAACCCTAACAAG